AGAGAGAGAGAGAGAGAGAGAGAGAGAGAGAGAGAGAGAGAGAGAGAGAGAGAGAGAGAGAAAGGGGGAGGGAGGGGAGAAAGAGAGAGAGAGCTGCTGGAGCGTGAGGCAGATGAGCAAAAGAAACGGAGAGAGGAAAAAGATGTGTGCATTTATATGTGTGTGTTGCTTGGCGAACTTTTTTTTTTCTTCCGTTAATTCCGCTTTCTTCAGATAAAGGCGGTGGCAGCGGCCAACACAACACGGAATTACTCACGCTGCGTTTCCTGCACGATGACGCGTTCGGTAGCACGCGTAACCGTCATGGTTCCAGCGGTGGTGGTGTGGCCGTACCGAAAGTGATATCCCCCGTGTCGGAGTGGCCGTAGGATCGGGCACTGAATCACTCGTCGTGGACCGCGGAAACGATCATCGCACCGTCACGTCGCGGGACGATAGCGCATTCGCTATCCGTGAAACGGACTGAGAGAGGGAGGAACGTTACGTACACGCTCGCGCAGCATCGACAACCCGAGGACTACCACTCAACTACGCTACATCACACAGCGCACCGCCGCCGCTCGCCGTCTCGTATCGTACGTGCGTACGAGACATTTAACCGACCGCCGTACGTCGCCGCCGCCGCCGCCGTCGCCGCCACAGCTACATCTTGCGCTTGCGTCATGCGCGCGCCCCGAGTCACGTGACCGCGCGATTGCGGGAAGTTCGAATGAGGATCCAAGCCGCGGTATTCGAATCCTATTCAAGTCCTTGTTCATTATTTGATGAACAACTAGGATGGAATCCCTCTGATTGGTTCATGATATCTTAAAGCTGTATTTAAGACGATCTTGAATATAAAAATGGACTATGGAGAATTATATAATTTGGAGATCACAAAAATTTAATCAAGGTTGACTTATCCTAGTGAAAAAATTAGAATAGTCAACCTTGAGTAAATTTTTGTGATTTCCAAATTATGATCTCGCGATTATTAAAAAATATATAACGCAATCGACGATCAATCTTGATTGTCGGTATAAATGTACTTGATTAGCTTTTAGGCCCGGTTGCAACGTCACTTTGATTTTAAACGAGACTTAAAACTCCATGTATCTCGTTTTAAAGTCGAAAGAGAGACAGAGATAGAGACAGTTTTAAGTCTCACTTAAAATCACGTTGGTGCAATCAGGCCATAGTGTCTAAAAGACGACTTAAAGACGTCTTGTGTCATAATTTTAGACTTTATGTCGTTTGGGACGCCTGTATATAATATGTTGTAAGACTAAAAGCGGTATTCATAATCCGTTCTTATTTTAAGCCCGTTTATTGTCTTAAAACACTAATACAGCCTTCTGATTGGCTTGTGACATCTTAAGATTGTAAGTACAAACAGTCTTAAATGTAAGAATCAACTATAAATATCGCTCTAACATTGGTATCTTTTCGCTAATATGGGTAATTTTAGAAAAATGAACAACGAACAAGAATTAATTAACAATTTGAATATTTTTCTTTCAAATTTGAATGCAGAATTATCCCCAAATTGAATAAAATAAATAGTTAAAAGAGATTTAATCTTTTAAATAATCGCATCTGCCGTTTCGATGTTAAAATTTAACAAAATTGTAATCATCGATGATCTTGAAACGGTCCTGCCGAAAGTGCACCAGGTCTTCTATGAAGCGCATCGAGCTCTCGTTATGAAGTTTCGTCATCACCGGCCGTAGCGTCGTAATCCCCGCGACATTCGCCAGGTCATTGTAATAGTGCTCCTGTTCAGGGCCCATCATGTGAAAGTGTTGCTTCTTCAGGCCTTTCTCGGCACGTTTTGCTGCTTCCTCCGCCTCGGAGCGTAGCATATCCGCTCGCGCGGGAAACTGCCTCTCGCCGTGCCAGTGTCGTAGGACGAATCGCACCTTGAAATTGCAAATAATCACGTTGCCATTATCACTGTTGCTGGCACATAGTCACGCCGGCCGGCCGACGCCGGATGCGCGACAGTGACTTTCTAGCATTTTTCCCCGTCGCGCGCGACCGCGTTCCTTTCAGCCGCGCTCAGAGACAATCTCATCCGCTCCGGATGCCCCACGGGCTTGGAATGTCGCGTGTCTAAAGTGGATTGCGCGCGGCCTTTGTTACGTCTGACATATTTCAAAATATGAGACTCGTTCTTTTTAGCTGAACTTCTTGCCACTTGGTTCATCTCTTTCCTTCTTTTCCCTCCATGTGAGAGAAGAAAGGAGAAAAGATCAACATAATATGTATATACAAGAATATTAGTTAAAAGAATTAGACGTATGGAGAGTATCAATTTGAAATGCAATATATATGGTAAAATATGAGTAAAATATTGTTGATACAATGTGAATTAATCAAAGAGGAAAGACATAGGTGGCATAGTGATATGAACAAAAATAAATAAAAAACAGGTCTAATGAGAGTCAATGCGGTTAAATCAGTGCACATTAATTTTGACAAAAATGAATACTCAGTAGTTAGAATGAAGTCTTCTTTATTTGTATTATACAATTGTATTATACCTGTTCTTTCTTTATTTTTGTTTGTATTTTAAATTTTGGAAGTCCGTTTTTAATTATTATTGTTGGCATAATGATATTTTGGATTTCAGTGAGATTATTAGCAAAAAAAAGTTTTATACCTGCAAATCAAACATACTGAAGGCGCAAACGTAGAATGGAATGCCAATCAATGCCAAAGTAGGGTTCTCTATGGACACGAGATGCTTCCAAAGGGGCGTGACCATGTTGGAATCCACTCGGACTCCACAGGACTCGGCGAGAAAGGGGAAGCTGTACTTGTAGCCTTTTGAGGAAAGAGAATGAGTGTTATTTTAATTATTAGAATGAGACAATATCCCATAATAATTACCATAAGGATTGGAGAGAATCTACCTGTACAATAGAAGACGATATCAACCTGCTCCTTCGTCCCATCCGCAAAAACCGCCTCGCGTTCCGTCAATTCCACCACGTCACCTTTCTATAGAAGAAACCGTCATGGTTGCTTAAAAAGTACCTCCGTGATTGTGCCTTATAAGTATCTGATTTTGCACGAAAAAAGTATCTCTGTGATTTTACTTCGGATTCGCGCTTTTACCTGCACGACATTCTCGGGGAATACGGTGCCGATGGTCTCGGTCACGTGATGACTCAAAATCACGCGATTCGCATTCCTGGATATTTCCAACGACAAATCCATACCTACTCGAAACAGAAAAATGTTACGTTTTAATCGCCGCAAGAAAACTTCACTTAATTTTTTATTCATCGTTCTCGCATTCAAAATTACATATTTATGCCCATATAAATATTAATAAAAAAAAACGTTCATTTATAGTAACGAAACTTTAATAAAAGCGGAAGAAAAAGATCAAAGTTGTGTAAGAAGAATGTTAATGACCGACATTGCCCGAATCGCTGGAATCGCGAAAAGAAAGTATCTCATTGAAGAAATAAGTAATTTCGTATGTATGTCGCATGTACCGGAAGGACCAGCTCCCAAGACAACGACATTCTTGTCGTTGAAGTAGTCGGGAACTCTGTAATCGTGGCTGTGTATCTGTTTGCCCGTAAAGATGTTCTGGCCAGGTATGTTCGGGATCTTGGGCTCAAAATAATGGCCGTTGCACACCATGACTGCATCGAACGACTCGATCACAACCGCGTCATTCTGCAAGTCCCTGACCTTGACCGACCACTTTCGGTCCCCCGCGATTGGCTCCACCAGCTCTACATGATGCAGCAGCTGGAATGTTTACGCCACAACACAAGTCACGCTATTACTATCTATTATAGTCATTATTATTATTATTATATATTTATATATATAATATGT